TGCCTTCTTGACCATCTTTTTATAGCTGAGGGAGTGGGCATCATCTACATGTAGCTTGCTTTGGCTGGGATGCCCAATCGCACCCCTCCCTGTGCAGTCGGACCAAGTCGGACCGCCCTAAGTGGAAGACCGTGGGTGAGCAGGCATGATCGGGTCCGATTGGGGCATCCGCAATGCCCGGTCGGGCGTGATCGGGCTCGCTGGGCTCCAACGGGCCTGATCAGGGAATTGCGCCTTTTGCGACACTGTTTTGAGTTTCCGTTGAAGTCTAGCCAATCTAGGAGCTTGCAAAGATCATCAAGAGCGACAAGGAGCCCCACAAAGATTATCTGGTGATCGACGTCCGCGACGACGACCACATCGGGGGTCACATATTGGGCAGCTACCATCTGTCGTCGGTGAGGTTCCAGGATAGCGTACAAGGTCTCGTCCAGAAAACGAAGGACATCCCGATCGTGATCTTCCATTGTGCATTGTCGCAAGCACGGTAAGGTTACCTGTGTATTGGTATCCCACCGCCACTAACACCTGTCATATGATGCAGTGGCCCAAAAGCTGCACGGGTATGACCTTGCTTGCTCTTGATGGTTTCTCGGTCCTGACTGGCCCTGACTCGCAGATTTACTCGGAGACTCGCGACAACTTGCAAATCGCAGGCAAGGACCAGCCGCACGACGTCTGTATCCTCCGAGGTGGCTTCACTGAGTTCCAGGCCAAGTTTAGGGTCAGTCTGGCCTTTGTATCATTCACCTGTCCTCTCTAATGATTCCCCTACTGTATAGAATGATCCCAAGCTCGTCGAGGCCTTCGACGCAAGCGTGTGGGACTATTGAACGGCACCGATACCACAGATCCAGGAAGCGGGATACACGCAGTGCTTCCTCTACTTCACGACTCACGAAGATGACATACTGGCCGAACCCCGTTCCTCCATCTTCAATGGTATGTGCATTCAGTTAGCTATCCTCTTTGCGAGTCCTCTGGCTGACGCTGGGTTTACTAGCTTACACCGATACTGGGTAGATTAGACGTCAGGCGATGTATGAATAGCGTCCATGTAGCGAATATATGATGTACTGAGTGCGAACGCAAGTCCTCTCAGACAGGTTTTCCCTCGTCCTCCTTCTTGATCGCTCGTCTTGCCGGCATGCTCTCAATGACCATCTGCATCTTGCGTTTCTCGTTTTCGACTTTTCTTTGACAAATATGCCTTCAGATAAGCATAGCATAAGGACCGGTTACGCGCGTACGAGGTTTTGTTCCTTACCATGAGCCGAGAGAAACGAGCATGAAGCAGCCGACGGCCCAGTTACTCGCCACGAACACTCCTAGTCCAATTAAGTACAGTACGAAGCATACATTTCAAGCATGGCATACCTGCAGTCATTCCGCGAATGACACCCATACCAGCCCCACTAGCAATACCCGCCATCAAACTATTCCTCGCGCACGGAATCTCCCCAATATGTTGCAAATCATTAACTGAAAGCCTCTATCTTCCCTCGCATCACTTCACACAAGCCCAGTGCAGAGTAGACGCAACGCACCTTGGTAGCCTCCCGCAAATCTCCCAATGTATCCCCAGTCGTCTCTACAGCATACGTCGGGCGCGGCCGCTGCACGGGTACGATAGACCCGTCGAGCGGATTGATAGTTGACCCTTCTGGCGCGGTTAGACTAGGCTTCACAGTATTTGGCGGTGCGGGTTGTTCTTTGGGTGCTGAGGAGAAGGGCCACATGGTGAAGGATGACGGTAGGAGGGTGAGTGACGCGCTTGGACGGCACGACGCGTCCACTCGCGTCGACACGGTCACGCCCCTGGCTTGAACCCAACCACGATCATCCGTCACTTGGCCGCGCGCCCTTGTCCTCGTACACCCATGGCCGAACCATCCACTATACTCTCGGAAGCGCTAACACGCGTAAACGAAGCCACTTTCAAAGCTGTTCGTTTACACCTGTTACCTGCAGCGCATGTATGCAACTGAAGTTGTGGCGATAGCTTCGGGCATATGAACAACGTAGCCGCAAGGGCGCCGGGGAGAAGGAACGCGAGCTGGAAGATATCGCGATTGAGCGCGACGAGGCTGTTGATGATGCCGCCAGGTTGAGGAAGCAGCAGAGCGCGTTGATGAAGGAGTCTGAGCAGCTCAAGGCCGAGGTGCGTGTGATGTGCGATGTGGTTCGGTCAAGTGCTCACGCCCGTTCTGTAGCTCGAACGAATGGATCTTGCAGTAAGAGCTTCAAATATCTCTACCATTTCTACTATATTGATCTTCTGCTCTGTAGCACTCGCACCAAACACAACTAGTCGACGATCTCCGCGACGAAACCCGTCAATGGAAACAAGAAGCCGAACAATGGAAACAACAATGTCTACGGATCGAAGAGAGCTCACGCCAACAGGTCGCAGACTGGAAAGATCGCTACCTACGCGCCGATCAAGAGAAAGCGCGCGCTGAGGCTGAGTTCACCCGCGTGCAGGCGCTCTGGGAGAAGGCGTTGGAAGGACAGGCCGTGCGTGCCCATTCAATTGATCGTCGTTTTTATGTCATTGGCCTCACACATGCCTGCCTATTTGCTTTTAGTCAGATCCTTTTCAGTCTTCTCATAGGCCGGCTGTCAACGCCGGTATCACGTTCAGCGCATCTGCTCGTAACGCCGTCTTCGCTACTCGCCACAGTACAGAGAAACCCGCCGTATCTCCTCTTCTCCCTACACCCTCTACGCATGCCTCTGCTCAGGATCCAACACCTGGACCCTCGCACACCGTCATCCGCCGCGTATCGACGACATTCACGCTAGACCACGGCGTCAAGAGCGAGGAAGATTCAGATAATGATATGCTCACCCCGCCATCGCCCACGGCGAATAGACCGCGGAAGAGCGGTGCTTCCGGCTCTAGCTCTAGAACGCGAGGCAGACGCGCGCGCGACGACGAAGACGACGACGATGCCCATAACATCTCTCCGCTCAAAGTCAGACCCTCTACATCCAAAGCCCAACCCCGAGGTCGAAACGCCCTCTCGCCAATCCCACCACTATCCGAAATCATCGACGAATACGACGAAGATGATCTTCAACATACAGCCAAGTCATCCGCATCTACTTCGAAACCTCGCGCTCCGCGCAATACGAATCATCTCGCGCCGATCCCGCCATCGACGAAAAGAGCAACAAACAAAGATAAAGACGAGCTCTCACCTATCAAAGCGAAGCCATCAGCTGCGAGGATTAAATATACTGCATCTCGCCCAAATAATTTCTCGCGAGAACTTCGGTCGGCCTCGTCGGATGAAGAGATGGACGAGGATGATGATGAGCTGGACATGGTTAGCGATGAGGTATGAATATGATCTTGCTCAGACGGGGTTTGCGAGCTGACGATATGTATATAGGGCGGTGCGAGTGCTTCCCGCGGGATACGGGCACGCCCCAGGGCACCGCGACGCGCTGCTGAGTCTGCGCCTAGCCGCAAGCGCAAGTTGCCTCCGGATGCTTCTGCTACGCCTGCGGCCACGCCTGGACGGGCAAAGAAGCAGCGTTAACGGTTTCATCTCCCCATTCTTCATTCCTCATAGCATTGTCCTTCTTGATTATGCGCTCGTCATTGTTAGCTATTAGTGTTCGTGGATGGAAAAACATCGCCCTCAGCTCCAGGAATCTTCCCTAAAGCCATCGTTCATGCTATGTATATGATACTCTATCATGGAAGTCCCTGTTGTTTTTCAAAGGTGTGACTGCCAAGCTGGCATTTGAACTTCTCATGACTTGAGGGAGCCCTATGGCGGCGCAAAAATGCTGTAGCATGCTAAATACGGGAAAGCGTCCCAGTCAAAGTGTCCGTTGCTGTACCGGTACAGAGCACTCAAAGAAGGAAAGAAAAAGTATACCAAGTTTTTTCATATTCGGATACGGGGAATCGAACCCCGAGCTGCCGCGATCTTGAAAATCGAGTCCCTAAATCTTGAGAGGCGGCAATGTTAGCCGTTACACCATATCCGATGACATGCAATAATGCAAAAGATGGTGTTCATTATGGCGGTCCGAACGTTCGGAAAATCGGAGGGTTTTTCCGCGACACTTTGGATTAGTTACGCACACTTCTCGAGTTACTTGCTCTACATCTCGCGTCCCGTCCCCGCCCGTGCCAGTCTCCTGCCCGTCCCTCCCGCTCTCAAGCACCTCCCACTCATACGGTAGCGTAGCCAGCGAGCGCAGCTCTCTGGCGATACCCAACAAGCCGGGAAGAGGAAGGAGGAAGTTGGGTGGGCGACGCCGCGTGTTCGGCTAACGCGCCCACGTGCCTTGCCGCGTGTGCCGCAGATCGCGTCGAGCTGCCTCGTCCTCCTCCCTTCCCAGCGCCATATACTTCGTAGAGTACACCCTTGTGAGCCGACTCAGAGTAACTATGCCCAGATGTGCCTGATGGCTTGTTTGACGCTATAAATCTGAGGGAAAATACTCCGTTTTTCACATTTTTCTCACATTATGAGCTTATACGGCAAGGAATGGCATCTATCGGCGCCTACGCTACTACCGGGCAGTATTTTTTCACAGATACACAAGTAGAATGCCACTGGGAAGGGAGGAGGACGAGGCAGCTCGACGCGATCTGCGGCACACGCGGCAAGGCACGTGGGCGCGTTAGCCGAACACGCGGCGTCGCCCACCCAACTTCCTCCTTCCTCTTCCCGGCTTGTTGGGTATCGCCAGAAAGCTGCGCTCGCTGGCTACGCTACCGTATGAGTGGGAGGTGCTTGAGAGCGGGAGGGACGGGCAGGAGACTGGCACGGGCGGGGACGGGACGCGAGATGTAGAGCAAGTAACTCGAGAAGTGTGCGTAACTAATCCAAAGTGTCGCGGAAAAACCCTCCGATTTTCC